CAGAGAAACTAGTTGGTCCCCAGGTAATGACTGAGCCTTGGATCAGTGAGGGAGGCTGACACAGAAACCTCCTGTGAGTTGTTTTGGGATGCACGCAGGAAAAGGGCTGACTGATGTAAGGAGCAATTGAGGACTCACAGGGGATGATAACAAACAGCTGTGGCTCGTTAAGGTCTCCTCCTGCGGATAAAAGACTGATGGTGCCATGCCCTAGTTGCAGAAGTCAACATTCCATTCCGTTCCATTTCTGTTCTAGTCAAGCTCTCCATTTGTGTGCAACCATCGAGAAAAAGCACTTGGATAAGTGACTTGATTTATATAATCCTGTTTTGTATTAGTTTATGAGTGAGGACTTTTGCCAGAGCATTTATCTGTGTTTACTTTGGGCTCGCAGCCAGCAAGAGCCAGGACTGATAAAAATATTTCTTTGAAGTTCTGTTTGGCTTTTGTTTTTGAACGGGCAAGGTGGGGGGTCAGAACAGTCCTCTAACAATGGGGAAAAAAAACAGTTACCAGGACACCATATTTTAATACATCAGTAAGATCCTATTTTGATCCTAGTATATGTGGATAATGTTTACATGCTTGCCAAAATTTCCCAAATGTCATCTCATGAAAAAAAATCTAGACTCTAAGAATCCTTCACAGATACATGAAGGGTCAACCTAAATGGACCACATAATGTCTCCGACATCGTTCTGTCACTGCTTCTACTATGGTGATGTTCAAAATAAACATACAGTTACTATGAGTAGTGATTTTGCGCAGCTTATACTGTAAAAGAGGTCCTATTACTGTTACTGTATTGGCACATACTTCCTGTATGTTGCCCCAGCTTTTCAAAACTGTGGTTAGGCATATCTGGCCTTAATCAGTCATATCATTGCTGTGTGATTTCAGCCAGAGTAAGAAGAAAGAAAGAAGGAGGGAGGGATAGCTAGATATAATGGAATGGAGGGAGGGAGGGTGAGAGAAAGGGAAGGAAGAAAGGAAAAAGAATTGTATAAGTTTCTATATGTGGTTGAGAAA